AAATATATTGAGATCTTAAATAGGAGATGTACTAATATAGACAAGCGCCGTTTTTTTTAAATTTTTTTTTTTTTTTTTGAAGGTCAATCTTTTTCCAAAACCGGTTTTTTAAAAAAATATAAAAAATAAAAATAAATATTATCCTTGAACTAGTGAAATTCGATTTTACTAAAATATCGGCAAGAATTTTTTTTTCTTTTGTTCCTGTTTTACCTTTTCTTTTTTCGTTTTCTCTGTTTCGATTTAATTTCTCAATGAATTCTCAAACTCGCCAACAAATTTTTCTCCTCTTCGAAATGTTAAGACAACAACAAACTGTTCTTTATGCACTTAGTGAAAGCATTGCAGCCGAGAACCAAGAAATTGTAGACTTGTTGCACCTTACTGTCAGTAATGTGCATTTGCTTAGAGAACAACAATTGCAGTACGACTTTTTTGCTGCCGATTTCTCGAGTGAATTTGGAATGGCTATTACTTCCTTGCCTTTGTTTATGACCGGGGCAATTATCACCAGAACGCGAACTGTCGTTGTGGGTGCCACAAGAGTGTCTGAAAGATACACTTTTTGGGAGGTACAACATCCCAACCTCAACGACGACGACGAAAACCAAGTAGATAGCTTCCGTGCTACATATCGAATGGGAAGGGACTCTTTCAATTGGCTTGTCAACAGGTTGTCTACCCATCCCGAATTTGATTTCAAGACACCAAACCACGTTCCTATCTACATCCAGATAGCTACCTGTCTTTTGAGACTGGCCAATTGTCATCTTGGATATAGAAACATGTATGTCCTGTATGGTGTTTCGTATGGCAGCTATACCAATTTCACGAGGCGTACGGTGAAGGCCATCAAGGATGTGCTTGGCTATATGATCGATTGGCCTACCAATTCAGCCATGGTAGGTGCTATATCTGCTGGATTCAACAAAGGTCCTGGTGTGAGTATTCCTGATGCAATTGGTGCTATTGATGGAAAAAACTTCACCATTCATAAGCCAACTCCAGCTGCTTATGGAGCAGGGTTCCGTGACAGAAAAAACAACTACACCATTAAACTTACCGCTGTTTGTGACGATACATGTAGGTTTACTTACATTCGTGTAGGAGACTCTGGTAATAATGACCAATATAAATATGAGAGTTGGAAGCTAATTTACTTTTAATACACTAGGCAGAAGTCATGACGCCTCAGCCTATAATTCCAGTGATCTCAGCTGGAAGATTATGAACAATCCTGGGCATTACTTCCCTAATGGATCTTATCTTCTCGGTGATTCGGCCTATCCGTCCAGTGCCAATTTAATTACACCATTCCCTGAAAGTGAATGTCTCCGAGATCCTCGCAAGAGATTATTCAACTATTCCCATTCAGCCAGAAGAATGGCCATTGAAAGAACTTTTGGTCAGTTCGTTCATCGGTGGAGATTTACACAATTCCACATTTACGTGTATGATCAATTGGATATCAACGATATCATCGGGTCGTGTGCTATTCTACACAATACGTGTAAGGCAAGAGGGGAGCTAGGTTTCGATGGTGTGGTTCTTGAGCCTGCTGGTCTTGTAGTTGGAGAGCAGGGTGATACAAGTGCTATAGGTAATAGCGCCCGCATGCGCATCTTTAATGCAGCTTTTCCTTAAATATGTTAAGTATTAAATTATTTTTAAAAAAAACCAAATTTATTATTGAAAAAAAAAAGACAATTATATTTTAGTCGATGTTATGAGGTTTATATTCATCGGACGAAGAATAAGTGATTTCAAGCAAGTCTGACGGAACAGGAGAAACCGTCGTGACATTGCCATCGATCGTCATGTCATTGGCAGAGGGGGTGGAGGCAGTGTTGTTGGGGAGGGTGCTGTTGGGGAGGGTGCTGTTGGGGAGGGTGCTGTTGGGGAGGGTGCTGTTGACGACGATGTTGCTGGCGTCGGTGTTGTTGGCGTCGGTGTTGTTGGCGTCGGTGATGTTGTAGGCGCTGGTGCTGCTGGCAGAAGGACTGTTGAACTGATAGTCATAGGCTGCAGGAATACCATTGACATCAGGGCGGAAGTAGTGGCTGGTGTTGTTGGTGTAATGGTAGCTACCGTTTTCGAACGCATTGTAGCTGGTGGCGTTGTTGTTGCTGGTGCTACGGCTGCTGCTGCTACCATTGTTGTTGTTGGCACCGTCGATGTTGTGGTAGGTGCTACGGCTGCTGCTGCTACCATTGTTGTTGTTGGCACCGTCGACGTTGTTGTAGGCGCCATTGTTGTTGTTGTTGGCACCGTTGTTGTTGTTGTTGTTGTTGCTTGGGCCGAAATCCCCTCTCATTACCATCAGCATCTGGCGCTGGATATCCAGACTGGCCTGCATCTGATCAGCGATGCGAGACTGCACCTGGTCCCGTCTCTCCATGGACTCCAACGTCTGACCAAAAAACGCTGTCGAACGAGCAAGGTAATTATTGAACGTTCTACGCTCAGGCTCTCCACGCACAAAACGACGTGCCTCAATCTCATTCATCGAGGTCACCAGATGCTCGATCGTTCGGTTGACCGCTCTACTTCTACTGGCAGCCCCACGAGTCACACCCTCCTCAGCACCATCGTCTTCGACGGATCTTCCTCGTCTAGCACCGACAGCTTCACCACGTTTATCGACCGTCTCTCCAGCAAGAGAGGTATACACAGTGGGTGGGATCACGGCGGGCATCTCACTGGTGGCGTTCTCCATCGCATCATGGTAAGCCCAGTTTTCAATTGGTGCCGTACCAGTCGCATTCAACCTGTCATTTCGATGTCTGAAGGCAGCACAGAGAGCAGACCACTTAGACTTCAATGCACTCAAAGGTCTTCTTCCATTGGTGCTGGTGTTGGTGTTGAATGAGTGCAACATGACACGGTACAACTCATTTCGTTCAGCTAAAGTACCAGTGGACTCCAACCGGTTGTTGTAACTAGCATACAACTCAATCAGAGCAAAGGTGCTGGCAGAATTCCAGTTGGAGCGAGTGTAGCTCAGATCTGGAACATCATCAGTGGCATCAGCAGTGGCATCAGCAGTGGCATCAGCAGTGACAGTAGCAGTGGCAGTAGCAGTGGCAGCAGGTGCAGCAGGTACAGCAGGGGCAACAGGGGCAGCAGCAGGAACGACGACAGGAACCTCTTCTTCTTCTGAGACGGTAGTAGCATGCGAGCGGTTGCTACCAGAGGCTACACCATTAGGTGTCACTTCAATGAATTGGAAATTGATAGGGTTGTTGTTGTTGTTTTGGTTGTTCATTTTAGAAAAAATTAAGGTAAGGAAACAGTAATAAAAATTTTAATTTGTTTTTTGGCATTTTAGTAGTCCATTTTAGGACCGTTTATTTCTGGAGGCTTCACATTCGATGCCCACAGATTTTTTCATTTTTAAGCAGTAAATTAATAATAAAAAAATATGGGCAACATTATTTTTCACAGAATTCAATTTAGGAAAAAAAAATTTATAAAAAAAAAATTTTTAAAAAAAAAAAAAAAAAAAAAAAAACGGAGCTTGTCCATATTAGTACATCTCCTATTTAAGATCTCAATATATTTTGTTCGATGTGAGCAGCCCAAGTTTATCTTGAAGTAGGCGTTAACTCTTTCTCGGTCACATTGCTCGCAATTTTCTTTCACCTGACGAAGTTGGATCTCACGAGCTTGATCCATCTTTTCAAGGACCTTCTTAAAGTCCTCGTCCCATTGGGATTGCATCTTGTCCAATCCATCCAAAAGTCCTTTGTACTTCGTGTCCAAATCGGCATTCTTCTTGCTCTTTTTACGTCCAATAAGACGCACTGCAACCGATTCGTCACTTATGACATTTTCATCGTCATCAACCGCTGCCGGCATACCAGCATCAGTATCATCATGACTATGTGGAGCTGAAGAGGTAGCCACTTTACTCTTCACAACCTTTTGCTTCTTCGCCTTAATTTTGCGATCTCTGCACTTCAACTCACTTTTCCACTTGGGGGCACCATTAAACTCCTGAAAGCACGGGAAGTATTTGAATCAAACCTGAAACTTTCGCTCAAAAAGCTTGAAGTTATCACCCACCTATTTATTAAAACATTTGCTCTAGATTCTAATATTTTTAAAACAAATCTAATCATAATTCTTACCTCGTCAGCGGCAACTTTATCACTTGCCTTACGTCGTTCAATTGCAGCGACGACACCACAAAACTTGCTGACCAAAGCAGAAACAACTCTCCAGTGGTCTTTCAAACTTTTTTCCGTTCTTTCTGGCCAGGCTTGGTCGCCGGCAGCCTTAAAGTCGGAAAGAACACACTTCCAAAAAGCTGATGATTTAAGCGAATTTTCTTCGCTAGATCTTTCCGAGACGGCCACCCAAGACTTACACGTCTGGACGTCTTGAGCAGTTGTCCAAGCATGACGCTGCTTAGGCGCAATGGAAAGAGCTTCGCTTTGCTCCTCGACATCACTCTCATCGCTGTCATTGTCACAGGAGTAGTCCATGACGTTGGTGTTGTCATCGTCATTGACCAACTGTTCATCATCAGCATTGAGGTTGTCAAGAACCATGTCCAAGTTAGCTTGGTCGTTGTCAGAGTCGTACATATTGTTCATTTCTTTGAGTTAATTTTTTTATTGGAAGACTTCCAAAACTCCAAAATTTAATTTTTAACCGGGATTTAAATATTTTCTCCTTTTTTTGGATTCGTGTAACCATTTTTTAACTTGATTTTAATTTAAAAATTTACAGCCAAAGTTTATTAAGCCCCGCCCCTCTACCAAGGTCAAATTTTAACTTTTTTAACTGTTTTAACTTTTTATTTTTTTCTTTGGCGCTTATTCTGTTCATTACCCTCAGAAGAATGGCTTTCTTCGGCGGGATTTGTCTAAGCATATAACAATTAAGAACTTTGCCATACAAAGAGTGAGTGCTTTTATCGTTCTTACCTTCGGAATTATTTGACCAAGAAGTCCCCTCATATCATTCACCTATTCCATTTACATAGTTAGATAATCTCATTCAATAATAAGTAATGCGAGAATATAAATTGTTATCTGGCTGCTCATTAGCTCCAAGCTGCTCTCCAACAATGTCAGACGACTTCCATAGACATCATTACCACCGGCACCAGGAGAGTCTTCTAAACTCAGACCTTCCATGGTCTTGATGGCCGCAGACATGTAATGAGCAAAAGTGTCTGTGAAATCTTGCAGATTACTTGCCTGCGCGGTCCTCGTCTTTTTTGGTACGGGTGTCGTACGAGAGACCAAACGAGGAGAGGAAGCGTGTTGATCGTCAGCAGCTGCATTCTCCACGGCCTGCTCTTCGATTGCTGGAAAGTTTTTTCCTCCACCCACTGCCGTGACCACAGTCTCTGCCTCCACATCACCCTCTTCGAATTCATCATCAATTCCTCGTGGCTCAGCTTCAGCCGTTTTAAGCTTGATCAGCTCTTGGATCTCCCTTGCCTTTACACTCCAAGGTCCCCTACTTGGGGTACCTAGTGGATGATCAACACTTATTGTTAATACTTGTAATAGAGTATCATCAATTAAACCTTTACATACCTGTAGTTGACTTCGCATTTTTGAATCTCCCAAAAAGCGCCTTGAGTGACTTGGAGTTACGGTCACAGACTTGTACCGCCACTTGATTGTTTCCGGTTCCATTTTGGCTGGCAAATTCAACCATTTTCTTCTTGAAAAAAACTTGTACAGTCACACACAAGTGAGGTTGGGAAACGCCAAATTTTATCGATTTTTCATGTATACTTTTTTTTAAAAACGCCATTTCTCTCCCTAATTGCAAAATAAAAAACACCATGACATTAACAGATTCAACTAACACACATCCCAACGAGTCAGGTTTAACTTCTGAAAGTAAACTTTGGGGTGTTTACTGGTTTCATACGTATGGATTAAGTCAAAGTGAAATTTCAAGGACCGTAAAGCTATCCACGTCTACTGTTCACAATATTCTGAAAAGAGTTAAGGCAACCGCTAGTCCTCTACCTAACAAGGCTCCTGGAGCACCTAAAAAAATAAATGAGAGATCCCAAAGAGCTTTGGAACGTGTCATAAGAAACAAACCAAATGTCAGTTATAATGACCTAAAACTGGAGTTGGGTAGAGCAGACGTAAACGTGTGTAGAGCTACGGTAATATCATCTTTAAAGCATATGGTTTTTGGATCTCACTTTGCTGCCCATAAGCCACGTTTAACACAAAAACACAAAGACAGAAGGCTTCGTTGGGCCCGTTGTCGTGTCAATTGGACAAACGAGCAGTGGGAAAGCGTTGTTTGGTCTGATGAGTCTCGTTTCTCCGTGACAGGATCCGACGGAGGCACCACAGTAACTAGAAAAGTTGTGGAAAGGTATCAGAAAAGAAATGTTATTCCAACAACAAAATGGGGTGTAAGTGGTGTAATAATCTGGGGGTGCTTTTACTAAGGGGAATTCGGTTCTTTAACCGTAATTGATGGCACGGTAAATCAAGAGGAATATATAAATATTTTGGCTGGTAAGTTCCATGCCTGGTTCAAGGAATTGCCAGAAAAGGAGGATAAAGACTTTATTCTACAAGAAGACGGAGCTTCATGCCATACTGGGGCTTACGCACGGTGGTGGAAACAGACCCATCACATTGCGGGGTTTGAGTACTGGCCTGCTCAAAGTCCAGACTTAAACCCAATTGAGAATCTCTGGTGGGCCTTAGAACGTCGGATTGCTGAAAGAAGATCCAAAGTAAAGAACGTGAAAGATTTGAGAGCTGTGATAGAGGAAGAATAAGAGCAAATGGACATTTCGCTTACCCATCGTTTAGTGGAAAGTATGACGAGTCGATGTCCGGCCGTGATTGATTCTTTAGGAGGCCCAACCAAATATTAAATATATTTATTTATTTTATTTTTATTTGCTTCTTATCTGTATCTAATACTATTTCAAGTTTGACATTGATTCCTTTAAATTTGACCGAGAATTATATCATTGAAACTAGATCACTATTTTTGAAGAAAAATTTCGACATTTTTTCCCAACCTCACTTGTGTGTGACGGTAGAAACGTAGAGTAGAAGATAAAAGACAATCTTTATTGTTTTGTATGATTATGGAATATATATGTGGTTATGTTTCGTACTCCGACACAATTCCAAAAAAAAAAAAAAAAAACCGAATGGAGTAGCTGGGCGTCGATCCCAGTGCCTCTCACATGCTAAGCGAGCGCTCTACCATTTGAGCTACAACCCCCACCCTTCTTTCGCTTAAAGAATTTTTATAAAAAAATTTTTTTGTGTAACCAATCTTTTATTTTTCGAAATATCAAGCAATACTAGAACCGCCTCCAACTACGCATTAAAATAACAAGCAAACTCGTCTGTTCATTTTAGTACAACTCCCAAAGCCCTCAGACAAAAACTCACCAAGTTCTGAAGACTTTTGTTTTCCGCCATTTCGACGATTTCACAAGACATTCCTACATCTGTGAACATCCTCTATTGCTTTCCTGTTCAAACTTCTTCTGAACCTGCTCTTATTACAGTCAAACATTATACTGTAATTTAAGATACACATTAACTGTTGAACGCTCCGTATTTAGACAATATAAGGTTGTATTTAAATATAACCTATAATGTCAAATACTAACTCTTCCCCGTTGAAACGAGGTCAGGGCACCCCTATTTCAACTCCTAGAAAGGATATTACGAAGCCTTTGACTCGTAATGGAACCTTCAAACATGTCGTCGCTGACCCTGAAGCAGATTTTCTTCATAAGAAGAAAATAGCTACTGCCACGGCTCGCCGCTTAGCTGGCTCACCTGATTCGCCTGACTCCTCATCCATCACCTTTGTCTCTTCAGGTACCATCCCCAATGGTCAAAAACCTATCTCTCGTGATACGTCTCCCGCTGCTCCTTCTACTCCTACTGCTACCATCACTGAAATTGATGATAGCCCCGTCATGTCGACCCTGGATTCGTCCCTCCCTCATGTACCACCAACAAATACTGGTGATACATTAGCATTCAGTATCCCTGAGTTTGCATTGGAAATGCAAAAGCAAATTCGCCAACAAGCTCGTCGCTTAGATGAATATGAAACCCGTCTTTCAGCCATCGACCAGATCCTGGAAGAAAATATTCAACTCAAAGCAACAATTCGTGAACAAGGTGACACGATCGCAGCACTCAAAGCTAAACTCACAGCATCACCTTACCGTCCCACCGACACCTCCATGGAGGTCGACTCTCAAGAAAGGGATTTATCCTCAAATGCTAGCATTTGGAGTAAAGCACCTCCCTCTTCCTCTTCCTCCAAGCCTCCCACCCATGCCTCTACTAGACCCCAAGCAACCAAAAGTAAGCCTACCATGGCTGAAATTGTAGCAAAAAAGGCTAGCAAGCCGGTCCAGCCCAAGCCCAAAGCTAAAAAACTTTCCGCTGAAGCTATTGCAAAAGCAGCCCGACCTTTCATGGAACGTGACCCTAATGAACCTCAAGGCTTCCAATATATCTATATTGGTCGCTCTCGTAAGATCACGCGCCCAGAAACTCGTAAGCGCTTTAAATTAGTTGGTATTGATACAAGCCGTGTTATTGATATCACTTTTCCTGCGAATGGTGTACTCGGTGTTCTTGTGCACGCCTCCTATGCCTCCACCTTCATCAAGATCATGACTAACGTCAAAGCCGGTATCATCAACGACTTTGATCCTTTGGACGAAAAACATTTGGCTAATCCCATATACAAGTCCTACACCGCTGCTGCTCGTGCTGATATTGCTGCTTCACTAAACAACAACCGTTGTAAGCAAGCTTTGTTGTATCTCCATACCGCTCGTCCTACCCAGGTTAAGCCAGTTGGTTACTCGTTCGTTGACCTTGGATATATATCTGAAGAAGAACTTTTGGAAATAACCAAAATGCCCTCCCAAGATCCCAAGTCACGAATCAATGAAGAGACAGCCAAACTCTTCAATGCTCCTGTTACCAAACCACTCTCACAATCAAATTCCACTGAAGCCATGGATGAAGATGACGAGTTTGTGTCTGCACCTACAGAAATTATTGCTACCGAAGAGGTGCTCTAATTATGTCGGCCCTCTCTTTTAAAATTAGTCTCTTGAACGCTAATGGTTTAAAAGCTACTACTGTTCAAGATCCACTATCCCATACGCTCTTTTCTGATATGCTCTTAATTACTGAAACCTGGCTTACGCCCTCTATGCTCCTACCTACTAATTGGCCCCAATATCATTGTTATGGTCAAAAAGTACAAAATGCAAATAATCGTGGTAAAGGTGGTATTACTGCTTTATTCAATCCTTTATGCAAATATACAGTCCTTCAACTTCCTTCTCCCAATGATCACACGCTCTCCCTCAAAGTAGGTGACCTTCGTGTTCATTGTCTATACCTTCCTCCATCTATGCCCATCAATCAAGTTTTTGCCACCCTTGATTCGATACCTCTTCTTCCAAATACCATCATTTGTGGGGATTTTAATGCTCGCCTTGGCTCCTTTGTTGGTGATCATCAATCAAACCCTCGTGGTAACCGTCTCCGCTCCTGGTCTTCAGACAACCAACTGCGTATATTGAATGAATCTCTTGCCTATGGTATTCCCACCTTTTCTGGGTTTCGACTCGGTCAAGAAATATCCAGCATTGTTGATTTATTTATTACAAATATCGCTCCTTCCTCTCTCGTCTCTCCAGCTCTGCAAGTTGAATCTGACCTCTCTCTGAGCTCTGACCATCGTCTTATGCACCTCACATTCGACCTTGTGCCATCTCACGATGATGTCCCCCTTCTTCCCGATCGACCGTTGGCACCACGTAGATTATGGAATTTAAACAGACTTAAAAAACCTGCGTACCTCCAGAAATACCGTGAGTCCATTAAAGAAAAGATTGCACCTCTCACCACCAAGCTCGAAAACTGGATTTCCTCTCCACCTCTGCTATGTCCATCTCTTGATTTATTCAACGAGTCATTCAATGCATGTGTGTATGATTCTTTAGATCTTTCCGTTGGTAACACTCCTCCTCGTCCCGACTACTGGCACAAGTACTGGACAACTGAATTACAAGAAGCTGCTGAAAATCGTGACCGATGTTATAAACGCTGGCGTAGAAGCATTGGGATCGACAAGGTACATTGGTGGAATCAACATGATGAAGCTAATAAACTTTTTCGTAAAAAAATTCAGAGAATCAAAAGAGAATCGTGGAACGAATTTAAAAAAAGTTTGGAGACAAACTTTCCCAAAGCCACAAAAACGATTTCTCGAATTAAAGCCCGCAACACTCACACCGCTTCCTTCACGCATACTGATGGTCCCATGAAAGCTGTTGATATTATGTCCACCCATTTATCTTCAGTGTATAGTGGTTCCTCTCTCCCTGCTCCTTCTCTCCGCCCACCATCCGTTCATTTACACCATTTTTTACCTCACTCTCTTGACAACACTCCTTTTTTGGATGATGATGTTATATCGTGGCGTATAAAAGAACTACCGAACAACAAAGCTCCAGGCCCAGATCACATCAAAGCCGAAATGCTCAAGCCTGTCATTGACATCCTCGCTCCTTTTTTCAAACTTTATTTTACTCTTTGTTACCAGTGGTCCAACACACCGTCTTTATGGCGTCAGGCTACTGTGTTTCCAATTTTTAAAAAAGGTGATCGTACTGACCCCGCTAACTATAGACCCATTTCACTCACTTCTGTTCTTCGAAAATTATTTGAAATGACTATAGTCTCACATGTTACAGAACTATCTCCCGCTCTTGATCACGCCCAAGGTGGTTTTCGTAAACAGCGTAGTCCTCTTGACCAAGCTTTGTGTCTGCATGATCTTATGCATGATTACTTTAACAAGCATTATCATTTTCCTTCTGTTGCCTTTCTGGATATCAAACAAGCTTACGATACGGTGGATCGTCGTGTAGTCTGGAATATCCTTGCCTCAAAATCCTCTTTTCCTGTTCCTCTGCTCAACCTGCTCATCCATATGTTTGATGATGTTTCTATCTCTGTATTGCTGGCCAATCATAGATCAGATCCATTCACTCCCATCACTGGTTTGTTGCAAGGCTCTGTGCTTAGTCCTCATTTATACTCTCTGTATATTGATTCTCTTCCTGGTGTATTGCGTAGCGCTGCCTCTGATTCTACTCCTACTGTGTTCGGTCTCGACGATGATGAACCTGTAGCTATTAATTCTCTTCTCTTTGCCGATGATGTTGCCATTTTTGGAACAAAAGATGAAGTTGAAAAAATGCTGCAGATCGCTGGCGATCACTCTCTCAAACTTGGTTACAGATGGTCTCCTTCCAAATGTGCCATTTTAAACGCTCCTTCTCCTCGCTCCTCTCGAACTCCCAATTTTGCCTTTACTCTTATGGTGAACCCATTCCCACTGTTGATCAGTTCTGTTACCTGGGTATGGAATTTACTAAAAAAGGTTTAAATGCCGGTAAAAGTATTGAAGCTCGATCCTCCAAAGCCAAAAAAACCATGTCTCTCCTTACCTCTGTCGGTGTACACCGTAATGGTTTTTCTCTCCTTCTCTCCGCACGCCTATACAAAACGTTCATTCGACCAAAAATTGAGTATGGGTTGGCTATTTCTTGTTTCACAGCCCGTGAAATGAGTAAATTAGACACCCTACAAAATTCACTTGTGTCAATGTTCGTAGGTAGTAAACATACAACAGTTGCTAAACACATCACTTGTCTCCCTGGTATGCTCCACCGCTATAACACCTTGGTTACTAAATACGTGCTACGCTCTGCCAACCTTCCAGAAGATTCTCTCCTCATCCTCCTCCAAGAATCTCTCTCTCAAACAAGACTTGGCAACAAATTAGAAACCAATGCTCTTTATACCTCTCTCCCTGATCCTATACCAACTTCTCCAATTCATCTCCGTAATCACTATCGTGATTATTGGCAGAATTTTTGTGACGATCAAAGAGCCCATCACGCCACTACTGGTAAAAACGTCCTCCTTCGCGCTTGTCGCCCATCCACCTCTGTTCCTGATCCCATCCTCTACCTCCCTATGAGTAATTCCGCTCGTAGTCGTTTGGTACGATGGCGTCTTGGTCGATTTACTGCCATGGAAAGAAATGAGTGTCCTTGTGCTGACTTTGGTCAAATCATAACTCGTGATCACTTTTCTGACTTGTCGTGCTATTGACGCCGACTTGATCGATTCTCTTCCTGTCTCTCCTCCTGGTGTTCATCGTATTGATTTTGCTCTGAATTCTTTACCCACCAAGAAAAAACACAAACCTCCCGCCTTTTGGCCGAAACTTTTATCCTTGCTCTGGATGATTGACACGCTGTGTCACCCTTTATCAAACATTCCAGAAGATCCAGATCCTGGTTCTTCTTGGTTCAACTACCCTCGCTGAACACTAGTTGCTTGTTTTCTGTCGCGTCGTCACGGTGGTAAGTGATTATCAAAGTTCCCATCCGTTGATCGTTCCTTCAGATCAATCCAACTAGCTATTAAGCGTGTGCTACTTTACCCCGCCTTTTCCTTTTTTATATTTTCAATTGTTTGTCACACAAAATATTTTTTTCATGCAAAATTTCCACCCCGTACTCGAAAATTAGACATATATCTATGGATAGTCCATCAATTTTCTTTATTTTTTCACTTTTAGATAGCTAATCCCTCCCTCTATTATATTAAATAAAACAACAACGTTTTCATCTGAGCTACAACCCCATACATGCTGTCTTGTCGTAAGTGGTTATAGCGTTTGCGTTTATGAAATACTCTTAGGTGGTATGCCGGTTCGAATCCGGCCAAGCGCATTGTTTAATCATAACTATAACTTGTGTAGTAGGTTTTCATCAGTTTTAGCTGTGCTTGTCCTGTCGGACGAGGAATCCTCAATGCGCCGTACGTTCAACTCACTTTCCCTGTTTGGGCTCCTGCTAGCTGCCAGCTGGTCTGGCTAGTTCTTCTCCCCTCCTTTGAGGTGGTTTACTGTTGTCTTTTCGGCGGTCAAGCGAAGAACAATGCAAGACGTGATGTGTTCAGCAAGTTTTAGGTGTCCCCCCCGGGAATTAAATAAGCAAGAGACTCCTGCCAAAAACAGCCAAATAGACTTAGCCATTACCGCCCTTTTCATATTACCCTTACATTTTCTAACTTTCCCTCCTTAATTATAAACTTCCTCCTCATCTCGTCCTCGTAATTAGGCATTATATCTATGGATCGCCCATCATAATTACAATTAATTTCTAATTAATAAAAACCCCTCTTTCATCTGAGCTACAACCCCACCTTTCTTTCGCTTAAAGAATTTTTCAGTAAGTTTTGCATCCAAAATTTTTGAAAAAGTTACATCGCATCCATCCATCATCAAATCCTCCTCAATCCGTTGCAATCCAATCAAATTTTAACTAAAGTGACACCGGGCAATCCAGTGGAACAAACCGTTTCGAACTCCGAGTTAAACTCCTCCCTCCAGAACGACATTCCTGAATTCCAAGCAGATTCAGATCGTCAATTCTCAGATCCCAATTTACCTTCTGACGAAACCGAACCTCCTGCATCTTTTGGAAATAGTCTCAAACGTCCATTTTCCTTTGTTTCCCCACCATTCCTCGACAATTCTCAATCATTGAAAAGAATGTCGATTCCCATTCCGGAATACCTGAGCCAAGTCAACGAGCGTCTCTCCCGGCTCGAATCAGCTCACGACGAAATATTCCAGCTCAAAACAGCCTTAGCAAGATCTGAAGCATCTCGACGCGAATTAGAGAAGCAAGTCTCTACTCTTTTGGCTCTCCAAAAAGAAAATTCTAATTCCGCCCCTCCACCTCCAACAAGTCAAAAGCCCCCAAGCTATGCTAATGTTGCTGCTGCCCCTCCCAAGACAAAAAAACAGGTAAAAAAGAAGACCCCTTTGCCGTCTGTTCGTCGTGCTACTGCCACTGTTGGTAGGCTCTTTGGTCCTAAAGCCAATAAACCATCTGAGTACCAATTCTTGTACTACGGCACCTCTGTTCGCCGTCCGCTGAAAGAACTGAGACGAACCCTTCAAGCTACTGGCGTGAATGTTTCAAGAATACTTGATATTCAGTACCCTGACTCCCGAGTGATATCCTTTTTGTTGCACACCGACTTTGTGGTAGAATTTACAAGTGTTATGCACAACAAAGGCCGTGGTACCGTACCACTTGATGACTATGATCCTTTGGATCCAGCCAAGCTCAAAGATCCCAAATTTGCCAATCTCTCTCTGGAATTACGGTGCCAGAAAGCCCATGAAATTCAAAACCTTCGGTGTTTACGTGCCCTCTCTTTTGTCCGCCGCTCTGCTCGTCTCTCCGTTGCTCGTTCTTTTTTGCATTACGAAAGAATCAATCAAAAACAGTTCGATGCTATTTTAGCTGAAGAACTCGAAGCCAGGTCATCCCTACCAAAGCCCACTCCCAACAAGACGTCCTCTGTTGAAAAGTTAGCTGCCAAAAATAAGCAACTAAGCTATTTAGGTTTTCTTCTTCATCATGACCACGAAACAGCCAAGTTGTTGTCTGAACCGAACCCTGAAGACTTTGTTATGCCGGATATTGAATCTGTTTAACTTTTTTTATACCAAAGTTTTCTAATTGTCCCCCCTTTCTCTTGTTTCTCTCTCCTTTTGGTTTTGCTTCCTTTTCTTTTGTTTCGCGCTCTCCTTTTTATCTTCTTTTTGTGTTTCTGGTCGGTGTGTTGCGTATTTTGTATAGGCTCGATTAGACTGCGAGGAATCCTCAGTGCAGATCCAATCACTATCTTCTTATTCTCCCCCTCCCACCTCTCATTTCAATCTCTTTTCTTTGCTGTTAACTTTTTTTATCTTCTTTATCTTTACAACCCTCTGGATTTATCCATAATTTAAATTAGTTTAGTTTTGTTAGCTTGTTTCTCGGTAATAAGGCATTATATCTATGGATCGCCCAAATACATTACCATTTATTTCTTTAAATAAAAACCAACCTTTCTTAACCTGAGCTACAACCCCCACCGCTCTTTCACTTAAAGAATTTTATAAAAAAAATTTTTTGTGTAACCCCAACTTTATTTTTTAAAATATAACCGCAATACCAACACCCTCCAAACTACGCATAAAATAAACAAGCAAACCCGTCTGTTCATTTTAGTCCAACTCCCAAAGTCCTCAGACAAAAACTCACCAAGTTCTGAAGACTTTCGTAATCCGCCATTCCAACGATTTCACAAGACATTCCTCCATCTGTGAACATCCTCTATTGCCACTTCGTTCAAACTTTTCCTGAACCCTCTCTTATTACAGTTAAACACAATACTGTAATTAAAGAATACCTTAATTGAAGACCGCCCCGTTTTTGTTCTTATAAGGTTGTATTTATAATATAACCACTATAATGACAAATACTAAATCCCCTGTTAAAACTAGAGGACAAGCTCCTGCTTCATCCTCTAAAGCATCGGATCTCCTGAAACCTTCCTCGAATGGCACTGGTTTCAAGTCTACTGTCGCTGACCCAAAGTCTGAGCTTCTGCGTAAAAAACAGTTAGCCACGGCTACGGCTCGCCAACTCGTCCCCTCTCCTGAGGCTTCCTCTGTCACTTTGGTCACTACCTCCAAGCTACCAAAGAAGATCACTACAAGTCCAGAACCTCTCCCAAGAATCTGAATTTGCTAATGGTCAAGAAATTCAATCCTCTTTCGACACCTCTTCCTTGCCTCATGTCACACCCAATTTACCTTGTGACACGCAAATGTTCTCCTCTCTCCCAGAATTTGCTTTGGATATGCAAAAGCAACTTCGAGAACAAAACCGCCGCTTCGATGAATACGAAGCTAGATTTACTGCAATGGAAGCTATCATCCAAGAAAACATTGCTTTAAAAGCCTCGACCCTGGTGCTCGAAAACAAACTTCGAGATCAAGCTGCAATGATCGCTGATCTACAGCTCCAGCTTGAAAACCAACAAGAACCAAATTCCAGCATGGATGTCGATCAACCTCGTGATCTATCTACTAATGGAAGCATCTGGAGTCAACGACCTTCCTCCTCGTCAGCTCCTAGCACCACAAAGGCCTCTGCTAAGCCAAAAGACTCCCCCAGTAAGCCTGGTTTAACCATGGCCCAAAAGGTTGCTCTCAACGCTAGCAAGCCACTCAAGCCCAAGGCCAAGCCAAAGAAACTGACAGCTGAGGCTATTGCCAACATTGCTCGTCCTTTTCTGGAACGTGATCCAGCTGAACCTAACGGTTTCCAATACGTCTATATTGTCAGAAATCGCAAGATTACTCGTGCCGAAACCCGTAGGCGTTTCAAGTTAGCAGGTGTCGATACTGGTCGTATCATCGACATCACTTTTCCTGCAACTGGTGTTCTTGGTGTTCTTGTTCACGAATTGTACGCTCCCGTGTTCACCAATGTCATGAATACTGCCAAGGTCAATGTTATCAAGGACTTTGATCCTTTGGATCCCAAGCACCTCGCCAACCCAGTATACCTCTCGTACACCAATGAGGCCCGTGCCAACATCGCTGCAGACTTAAACTCCAATCGATGCAAACACGCCCTCCTATACCTACACAACACTCGTCCCCATCAAGTTAAGGCTGTTGGTTACTCTATGATTAACTTAGGTTATATCAGTGAAGAGGATCTTTTTGCAATTACTGCTACTCCTCGCCAAGATCCCAAGGCCCCACTCAACGATGATGCAGCCAAGCTGTTCAATACCAAGCCTGGTGATCGTCCAGAACAAGCCCCACCTATGGAATCTGATACTATGGAAGATATTGATATTGATGCCATTTTTGATACGGCCCCTCAATCAAATGAAGGCGGAATTAAACAAGTCTCTGATGACGAACTTTAATTATGTCGACCCTCCTTCCTTTCACTATCAGTCTCTTTAATGCAAATGGCCTAAAAACCACGACCATTTCAGACCCACTCTCCCACACTCTTTTTTCCGACCTCCTCCTCATCACCGAAACCTGGCTAACGCCCTCTATGCTTTTACCAACTGACTGGCCTCAGTATCACTGCTATGGTCAGAAAGTTCAATATGCCAACAATCGTGGAAAAGGTGGTATAACCGCTTTATTAAATCCATCATGCAACTATACTATCCTTCAACTCCCTTCCACCAATGCTCACACGCTCTCTCTAAAAATTGATGCTCTTCGTGTTCATTGTGTGTACCTTCCTCCATCTATGCCAAACGATCAAGTTTTCGACATCCTTGAATCCATTCCGCTCCTTCCCAACACAATCATCTGTGGTGATTTCAATGCTCGTCTCGGTTCTTTTGTCGGTGACCATCATTCAAATCCTCGTGGTAATCGCCTCTTGTCCTGGTGTACTGACCGCCAACTTCACGTCCTCAATGAATCACTTGCGCATGGTATTCCAACCTTTACTGGGTCTAGACACGGTGAAGAAATTAGCAGTATTGTTGACTTGTTCATCACGAATATCACACCCTCTACGCTCATTAACTCCTCTCTCCACGTTGAATCTGACCTCTCTCTTAGTTCTGATCACCGTCTTATGACTCTGTCGTTCGACCTTGATCCGCTCCTAGATGATGTCAATCACGTTCCCGATCGTCCCTTGGCTCCTCGTAAATTATGGAATCTTAACAAGCTCAAAAAGCCCAAGCCCCTCCAGAAATACAGACAGTCCATTCAAGACAAGATCGCTCCCCTCAAAGACCAATTAGAAGACTGGATATCCTCTCCACCTCTGGAATGTCCATCTCTTGACTCGTTCAACGATTTGTTCAATTCATGTGTGTATGATTCTCTTGATTACTCGATTGGCAAAACTCGTCCCCGACCAGATTACTGGAAAAAGTACTGGACTCAAGATTTACAAGATGCTGCTTCACACCGTGACTACTGTTACAAACGTTGGCGTCGTTCAATCGGCATTGACAAAGTACATTGGTGGAATGAACATGTTGCTGCTAACAAGTTGTTTCGTCAAAAGGTGCAAAAAACTAAAAGGGAATCTTGGAAACAGTTTAAAAAAGAAATTGAAAAAAACTTTTCTAAAGCAGTCAAGACTATCTCTAGAATAAAACGCCGCAACCAACAGTCCTCCTCTTTCATGCACCACGATGGTCCACTTAAAGCTGTTGATATAATGTCAGAGCATTTATCATCAGTGTATAATGGTTCCTATCTGCCTGCCTCTGATATTCGCCCTCCTCCTATCACCTTTTCCGAATCAATACCACACGACGTTGAAGACACTTCCTTTTTTGACGCCGATATGATTTCTATGTATATGAATGATCTCCCTAGCAGAAAAGCACCAGGCCCAGATCACCTCAAAGCCGAAATGCTAAAACCTGTTAAAGATCTTATCTCTCCTTTCCTTTCACTTTACTTTCAAGTTTGTTACCAATGGTCATATACCCCGTCTCTATGGCGCCAAGCTACTGTCTTTCCAATTTTTAAGAAAGGTGATCGATCTGATCCTGCCAATTATCGTCCTATTTCACTCACTTCGGTTCTCCGTAAGCTGTTTGAAATGGTGATTTCTGATACTGTCCTTGAATTCTCTCCACCACTGGATCATGCTCAAGGTGGTTTTCGAAAACAACGAAGTCCACTGGACCAAGCCCTATGTTTGCATGATCTTATGCATGATTACTTTCGAGTACATCACCACTTTCCTTCTGTTGCTTTTCTGGATATCAAGCAAGCCTATGATACTGTCGATCGACGTGTTGTCTGGAACTCACTTGCTTCTTCCTCTTCTTTTCCTCGACCTCTACTCAACCTCCTCATCCATATGTTTGATGATGTTTCTATTTCTGTATTGCTGGCCAATCATAAATCAGATCCATTTATTCCTCATACTGGTTTGTTGCAAGGCTCTGTGCTAAGTCCACATTTATACTCTCTGTATATTAACTCTCTTCCTGGTGTACTGCGTAGCGCTGCCTCTAGTTCAACAACCGAGGTCTTTGGTGTTGGTGATTCTTGTCCCACTCCAATTAATTCTCTTCTTTTCGCTGACGACGTTGCCATTTTTGGTACACGCTCTGAAGTTCAACAAATGCTTGATTTAGCCGCTCAACATTCTCTTCAACTAGGCTATCGATGGTCACCCTCAAAATGTGCCATCTTAAATGCTCCTTCTCTCCTCTCTTCCTCAGCTCCTAACTTTCGTTTCACTCTGTACGATCAAGATCTGCCAACTGTTGATCAGTTTACATATCTTGGTATGGAGTTTAATAAAAAAGGCCTTTATGCTGCTGGTAATATCCAAAAACGTTCCGCTGGTGCTATTCAGACTATGGCTCTCCTTAACTCTGTTGGTGTCAACCGAAATGGTTTCTCTCTCCTCCTCTCTGCTCGACTCTACACTACTTTTATACGACCTCAATTTGAATATGGATTAGCAATTTCTCGTTTCACAGCCAGTGATATGAAAAAATTGGATAATCTTCAAAACAAATTGGTGGGTATGTTCCTAGGTAGTCGGCAAACCACTACTGCTAAACACATCACTTGCATCCCTGGCATGCTCCATAGGTACAATGTCCTGGTTACAAAAAATGTATTACGCATAGAAAATCTACCCGAAGATTCTTTACTCGTTCTCTTACAAGAAACCCTTCAATCCTCAAGACTTGTTGATGTCCTCCAAAACAATGTTCTTTATACCTCTCTTCCGGATCCCATCTATGAATCACCTATTCTCCTTCGAAATCATTATCGTCGCCATTGGCAAGAATATTGTGATGCCCAACGGATAATCCACGCTCGAAACGGTACACAAGTACTTTTACGTGCTTGTCGTCCAATTACTACCAAACCTGATCCCATCCTGTACCTTCCAATGAATAATTCAGCCCGAAGTCGATTGGTTAGATGGCGATTAGGTCGTTTTACTGCCATGGAACGTGAAGAATGCCCATGTGCTGATTTTGGTGCCCAACTCTCACGAGACCATTTTTTAACATGTCGTGCAATTGATCCCGATCTCATTTCTTCTCTTCCTGTCTCTCCTCCCGGTGTAAACCGTATAGATTTTGCTTTATCTTCTCTGCCCACCAACGCAAAATCTCGCCCTCCCCCTTTTTGGCCAGTCTTACTTACCGTATTATGGTTAATCGACACTTTGTGTCACCCTCTCAAAAACATTCCTGAGGATCCACATCCTGGACGCTCTTGGTTCAATTACCCTTGCTGAACGTTGTTTGCTTGTCTTCTGTTGCGACGTCACGGTGGTAAGTAATTATCAAAGTTCCCATCCGTTGACCGTTCCCTCAGATCAATCCAACCAATTATTAAGCTCGCGCTACTCTACCCCTTCTTTTCCTTTTTTTAATTTGACAGTTAGTTACACAAAATTATTTTTTTCATGCATCTCACCCCGTACTCGGAAATCGACATATATCTATGGATAGTCCACCTATTTCCATTATTTTTTGATATTTAGAATCCCCTTTATACCCTCTATCTTAATATCAATAAATAAAACCCCCATTGTTTTCACCTGAGCTACAACCCCCACCGCTCTTTCACTTAAAGAATTTTATAAAAAAAATTTTTTTGTGTAACTCCAACTTCTATTTTTTAAAATATAACCGCAATACCAACACCCTCCAAACTACGCATAAAATAAACAAGCAAACCCGTCTGTTCATTTTAGTCCAACTCCCAAAGTCCTCAGACAAAAACTCACCAAGTTCTGAAGACTTTCGTAATCCGCCATTCCAACGATTTCACAAGACATTCCTCCATCTGTGAACATCCTCTATTGCCACTTCGTTCAAACTTTTCCTGAACCCTCTCTTATTACAGTTAAACACAATACTGTAATTAAAGAATACCTTAATTGAAGACCGCCCCGTTTTTTGTTCTTATAAGGTTGTATTTATAATATAACCACTATAATGACAAATACTAAATCCCCTGTTAAAACTAGAGGACAAGCTCCTGCTTCATCCTCTAAAGCATCGGATCTCTTGAAACCTTCCTCGAATGGCACTGGTTTCAAGTCTACTGTCGCTGACCCAAAGTCAGAGCTTCTGCGTAAAAAACAGTTAGCCACGGCTACGGCTCGCCAACTCGTCCCCTCCCCTGAGGCTTCCTCCGTCACTTTGGTCACTACCTCCAAACTGCCAAAGAAGATCACTACAATTTCAGAACCCTCTCAAGAATCAGAAATTGCTAATGGTCAAGACATTCTATCCTCTTTTGACACCTCTTCCTTGCCTCATGTCACACCCAATTTACCCTGTGACACGCAAATGTTCTCCTCTCTCCCAGAATTTGCTTTGGATATGCAAAAGCAACTTCGAGAACAAAACCGCCGCTTCGATGAATACGAAGCTAGATTTACTGCAATGGAAGCTATCATCCAAGAAAACATTGCTTTAAAAGCCTCCGCCCTGGTGCTCGAAAATAAACTTCGAGATCAAGCTACAATGATCGCTGATCTACAGCTCCAGCTTGAAAACCAACAAGAACCCAATTCTGACATGGATGTCGATCAAACTCGTGATCTGTCTACTAATGGAAGTATCTGGAGTCAACGACCTTCCTCCTCGTCAGCTCCTAGCACCACCAAGGCCTCTGCTAAGCCGAAAGACTCCCCCAGTAAGCCTGGTTTAACCATGGCCCAAAAGGTTGCTCTCAACGCCAGCAAGCCACTCAAGTCCAAGGCCAAACCCAAGAAACTAACAGCTGAGGCTATTGCCAACATTGCTCGTCCTTTTCTTGAACGTGATCCCACCGAACCCAACGGTTTTCAATATGTATATATTGTCAGAAATCGAAAGATTACTCGTGCTGAAACCCGCAGGCGTTTCAAGTTAGCTGGTGTCGATACAGGCCGTATCATCGATATCACGTTTCCTGCCACTGGTGTTCTTGGTGTTCTTGTACACGAGTTGTACGCTCCTGTTTTTACCAACGTTATGAATATAGCCAAGGTCAATATCATCAAGGATTTCGATCCTCTTGATCCCAAGCATCTTGCAAATCCAGTGTATCTTTCCTACACCAACGAGGCTCGTGCCAACATTGCTGCTGACCTCAACTCCAATCGATGCAAACACGCCCTCCTGTACCTACGCAACACTCGTCCCCATCAAGTTAAGGCTGTTGGTTACTCTATGATTAACTTAGGTTATATCAGTGAAGAGGATCTTTTTGCAATTCTTGCTACTCCTCGTCAAGATCCCAAGGCCCCTCTCCACGATGATGCAGCCAAGCTTTTTAATACCAAGCCTGGTGATCGTCCTGCCCAAACCCCACCTCCAGAAACTGACGCTATGGAAGATATTGATATCGAAGCCATTTTCGATACGGCTCCTGAGTCTGACGAAGGCGGAATTAAACAAGTCTCTGATGACGAACTTTAATTATGTCGACCCTCCTTCCTTTCAATATTAGTCTCTTTAATGCAAATGGCCTAAAAACCACGACCATTTCAGACCCACTCTCCCACACTCTTTTTTCCGACCTCCTCCTCATCACCGAAACCTGGCTAACGCCCTCTATGCTTTTACCAACTGACTGGCCTCAGTATCACTGCTATGGTCAGAAAGTCCAATATGCCAACAATCGTGGAAAAGGTGGTATAACCGCTTTATTAAATCCATCATGCAACTATTCTATCCTTCAACTCCCTTCGACCAATGATCACACGCTCTCTCTAAAAATTGATGCTCTTCGTGTTCATTGTGTGTACCTTCCTCCATCTATGCCAAACGATCAAGTTTTCGACATCCTTGAATCCATTCCGCTCCTTCCCAACACCATCATCTGTGGTGATTTCAATGCTCGTCTCGGTTCTTTTGTCGGTGACCATCATTCGAATCCTCGTGGTAATCGCCTCTTGTCCTGGTGTACAGATCGTCAACTGCATGTTTTAAATGAGACACTTGCTCATGGTATTGCTACCTTTACTGGGTCTCGACTCGGTCAGGAAATTAGCAGTATTGTTGACTTGTTCATCACTAACATTGATCCCTCCACGCTCATTAACTCCTCTCTCCACGTTGAATCTGACCTCTCTCTTAGTTCTGATCACCGTCTTATGACTCTGTCGTTCGACCTTGATCCGCTCCCAGATGATGTCAATCACGTTCTCGATCGTCCCTTGGCTCCTCGTAGATTATGGAATCTTAACAAGCTTAAAAAGCCTAAGCCCCTCCAGAAATACAGAAAGTCCATTCAAGACAAAATCGCTCCTCTGCAAGTCCAATTAGAAGACTGGGTATCCTCTCCACCTCTGGAATGTCCATCTCTTGACTCGTTCAACGATTTGTTCAATTCATGTGTGTATGATTCTCTTGATTACTCGATTGGCAAAACTCCTCCTCGTCCAGATTATTGGAAAAAGTACTGGACTCAAGATCTCCAAGATGCTGCTTCTCACCGTGACTACTGTTACAAACGTTGGCGTCGTTCAATCGGCATTGACAAAGTACATTGGTGGAATGAACATGTTGCTGCTAACAAGTTGTTTCGTCAAAAGGTGCAAAAAACTAAAAGGGAATCTTGGAAACAGTTTAAAAAAGAAATTGAAAAAAACTTTTCTAAAGCAGTCAAGACTATCTCTAGAATAAAACGCCGCAACCAACAGTCCTCCTCTTTCATGCACCACGATGGTCCACTTAAAGCTGTTGATATAATGTCAGAGCATTTATCATCAGTGTATAATGGTTCCTATCTGCCTGCCTCTGATATTCGCCCTCCTCCTATCACCTTTTCCGAATCAATACCACACGACATTGAAGACACTTCCTTTTTTGACGACGATTCGATTTCTATGCATATAAATGATCTTCCTAACAGAAAAGCACCAGGCCCAGATCACCTCAAAGCCGAAATGCTAAAACCTGTTAAAGATCTTATCTCTCCTTTCCTTTCCCTTTACTTTCAAGTTTGTTACCAGTGGTCCTATACCCCGTCTCTATGGCGTCAAGCTACTGTCTTTCCAATTTTTAAGAAAGGTGATCGATCTGATCCTGCCAATTATCGTCCTATTTCACTCACTTCGGTTCTCCGTAAGCTGTTTGAAATGGTAATTTCTGATACTGTCCTTGAATTCTCTCCACCACTGGATCATGCCCAAGGTGGTTTTCGAAAACAACGAAGTCCATTGGACCAAGCCTTATGCCTCCATGATCTTATGCAAGATTACTTTCGAGTACATCACCACTTTCCTTCTGTTGCTTTTCTGGATATCAAGCAAGCCTATGATACTGTCGATCGACGTGTTGTCTGGAACTCACTTGCTTCTTCTTCTTCTTTTCCTCGACCTCTACTCAACCTCCTCATCCATATGTTTGATGATGTTTCTATTTCTGTATTGCTGGCCAATCATAAATCAGATCCATTTAATCCTCATACTGGTTTGTTGCAAGGCTCTGTGCTAAGTCCACATTTATACTCTCTGTATATTAACTCTCTTCCTGGTGTACTGCGTAGCGCTGCCTCTAGTTCAACAACCGAGATCTTTGGTGTTGGTGATTCTTGTCCCACTCCAATTAATTCTCTTCTTTTCGCTGACGACGTTGCCATTTTTGGTACACGCTCTGAAGTTCAACAAATGCTTGATTTAGCCGCTCAACATTCTCTTCAACTAGGCTATCGATGGTCACCCTCAAAATGTGCCATCTTAAATGCTCCTTCTCTCCTCTCTTCCTCAGCTCCTAACTTTCGTTTCACTCTGTACGATCAAGATCTGCCAACTGTTGATCAGTTTACATATCTTGGTATGGAGTTTAATAAAAAAGGCCTTTATGCTGCTGGTAATATCCAAAAACGTTCTGCTGGTGCTATTCAGACTATGGCTCTCCTTAACTCTGTTGGTGTCAACCGAAATGGTTTCTCTCTCCTCCTCTCTGCTCGACTCTACACTACTTTTATACGCCCCAAAATTGAATACGGTCTAGCAATCTCTCGTTTCACAGCCAGTGAAATGCAGAAATTGGATAGACTTCAAAATAAATTAGTGGGTATGTTTTTAGGCAGTCAACAAACCACCACCGCAAAACACATTACTTGCATCCCTGGCATGCTTCATCGATATAATGTTCTGGTTACAAAAAATGTGTTACGCATCGAAAACTTACCCGAAGATTCCTTACTCGTTCTCCTGCAAGAAACTCTTCAATCCTCAAGACTTGTTGATGTCCTTCACAACAACGCTCTTTACACCTCCCTTCCAGATCCTGTTTATGATTCACCAATTCTTCTTCGTAATCATTTCCGTAAACATTGGCAAGATTACTGTGATGCTCAAAGAATTATCCAAGCTCAAACAGGTAAACAAGTACTCTTACGTGCTTGTCGTCCAATTACCACCAAACCTGATCCAATTTTGTATCTTCCAATGAATAATTCTGCTCGAAGTCGATTGGTCAGATGGCGATTAGGCCGCTTTACAGCCATGGAACGCCAAGAATGTCCTTGTGCAGACTTTGGTGCGCGACTGTCTCGTGATCATTTTTTGACATGTCGTGCAATCGAACCGGACCTTATTTCTTCCCTTCCTGTCTCTCCTCCCGGTGTAAACCGTATAGATTTTGCTTTATCTTCTCTGCCCACCAAAGCAAAATCTCGCCCTCCCCCTTTTTGGCCAGTCCTACTTACCGTATTATGGTTAATCGACACTTTGTGTCACCCTCTAAAAAACATTCCTGAGGATCCACATCCTGGACGCTCTTGGTTCAATTACCCTTGCTGAACGTTGGTTGCTTGTCTTCTGTTGCGACGTCACGGTGGTAAGTAATTATCAAAGTTCCCATCCGTTGACCGTTCCCTCAGATCAATCCAACCAATTATTAAGCTCGCGCTACTCTACCCCTTCTTTTCCTTTTTTTAATTTGACAGTTAGTTACACAAAATTATTTTTTTCATGCATCTCACCCCGTACTCGGAAATCGACATATATCTATGGATAGTCCACCTATTTCCATTATTTTTTGATATTTAGAATCCCCTTTATACCCTCTATCTTAATATCAATAAATAAAACCCCCATTGTTTTCACCTGAGCTACAACCCCACCCTTCTTTCGCTTAAAGAATTTTTATAAAATTTTTTTTGTGTAACCAATCTTTTATTTTTCGAAATATCAAGCAATACTAGAACCGCCTCCAACTACGCATTAAAATAACAAGCAAACTCGTCTGTTCATTTTAGTACAACTCCCAAAGCCCTCAGACAAAAACTCACCAAGTTCTGAAGACTTTTGTTTTCCGCCATTTCGACGATTTCACAAGACATTCCTACATCTGTGAACATCCTCTATTGCTTTCCTGTTCAAACTTTTTCTGAACCCTCTCTTATTACAGCTAAACCCAATACTGTAATTCAAGAAACACCTTAATTGTTGAACGCCCCATATTTGGACACTATAAGGT